GAGGGCAGCTTTATACAGCTTTATACACTATTATATGTGAAGTCTAACAAGGACCCAGTTTCACTGCCACACTCGCTGAAGAGCTTGGCTATGTCTTTTGAGACTTCTAGTATGATCTGTTTGCCAAGGCTGTAGTGGACACTAAATTTGTATGTATTTGTATGTATGAGAAGAGCAAGTGTAGCTAGGGAGGAGGAGAGCGAGCAAAAAAAAGGAGGGTTGAAGTGGCAAAGGTTTGGGGGGTTTGGAGTTGAGGACAGAGTGAGTGTGAAACTGATAAGCTTGTGGTCAGAGAAAGATAAAAGAAGTGTTGAAGAGGTTTCAAGGAGTGCAGAGGTGGGATAAAACAGGGTCAAGTATATTGCCATCAGAGTGAGTACTAGTGTTTGTCCATTGCATTAGGTCAAAAGATGAGGTTAGGTTGAGAATTTGAGAGGTAGCTGATGTGTTAACAATGATAGCAATGTTTTTGTTTTTTTTTAAATCCTCTTTATTCAAAATTTGTTTTTTTTTCCGACAATCAACAATAATAATTTACAACCACAATTAATAGTGTAATTTACAACAACATGATTATACATCCACATACATACATACAACTGACATTTAAGACACTGCTATTTTCGCAATTTAGTCCATATTTTAACATTTACATTTCTTGGTCAACCCTGAACGATCTTCATATTATATATGCCAAATCTTAAATTGGCTTCCCACATAACCTATCTAACTTCCTTCACCCTCCCCTTTTATATCGTGATATTTTCTACCTCCGTATTTAGTGCTTCATATTAAATAATTTTGTATATTATTTAGGTGTTTACTCCCGTATTATGTAAAAAAAAAAAAACAAACAAACAAACTCCCTACTACATATCTATAGTGTATATTTTACATATTGCATATTTCTGTTACCTATCCTCCCTTTATTCGTGGTATCACACCCCCTCCATTCTACCTCTATATTTAGTGTTTCGTATTAATTAATTTTATATATTATTTGTAGTGTTTATTTCTGTATTATACCATTATTTTAATGTCACCAATCCCCTGTTCCTGTCCCTCCCCCTCCTCACAATTCAGTAAACACAGCCTGGGATCCACCTCCAGTGAAATGATAGCAATGTTAAAGTCACCACGAATGGTCACCAAGAATGCACCATATAAAATAGGAGAACATCTGAATATGTTAATTGTGCCTAAGCAGTTCTCTGGAAAAATGTTCCTTTTGCCTTGAATTTCTCCTGAAAATTAGCATTTCTGGAGCTAGGCACTCCTGTGCTTTGAGCCTCATAGCTGTATATCTGCAGTGTTAGATCCTCAAAGGCATTGCTGCCTATGACTACTAGTGTCCTGAAATTTGAAGTGAGATATGGTGATGTAACTACTGTGTTGCTCACTGTTTTCCTTGTAAGAAAGAAAGCTGTACCTCAGGACCTGCAGTGCAAGGATTTCCCTGCGTCTGCATTCTGTGGATATGTGCATTCTGTACATCTTCTCTGGCTCCATGAACATTACTCACAAGTCATTAGATCACCAGTCATCAGGGGGCCAGTTCTTACTTGAGGAAGTAAAGCCCTGCCTCTACCAAGATGGTGCCGTTACACAGAGACACATAGTAGAACATTGCATGGTTAGTAAGTAATGGGGAAGAGACCAGCAGCAGTTTGCCCACACGCAATACTGGTGACTAGTGCTCTACATCCTCCACAATTCAAATCCTTTTTATAGCATAGTGGTGGTGTGGACTGACTTTATTGTAAACAAGGCACTTTGCCATGTCTATGTGCTAGACCCTACGCATCTGGTAAAAACAGGCCCTTAAGGTTTGGCTCTATAACAAAATAACTTTGAGATGTGTTCTCTTCCTTTGATTCACTGTTCCTCCAAATGAAATGTCATTGTGCTGCAAAGATCACTTTTCATCAGTTCATTGTGGTCAAAATCATATTTTCCTTTGCTTTGCTTCAGTTTCTTTGCCTGTTTACCTTCCCGTTGTGTTGTAGATATCCGCTTAGTTGATCACTGTGTGTCTTAACTAGATGGCACAGACTTTCCTGTTTTTCTACCACTTTCCAGAAGTACAGCACCCAGAAAAGTACCACACACTACTTTCTTCATCTCAGTGTTGTTCTAAACTGTATTGAAATCTATTGCATATGTAGGCCTTCACTGAATTCTGATGGGAGATTCAGGAGCTTGGCATCATTTTTGTTTGTTTGTGTAGACAGAGAAGAAAATATTAAAGGATGACTATAATTATAACTATAACAGCTATGCTTTGTCAATACATGTTATTATAACTCCAGACTGCTACAAAAATGCTTTGGCAACAGGAATTGAGACATAGCATCAATAAATGTATGATGAATGTCCTGTTTCACAATTTCTCAAAGGCCACATTAGTAAATTAGAGAAATAGACCAGCTATCCCTAATGAAAAGCAAATTACAGAGACAGAATTAAATATCTCTTTGCTATAAGGAACACTTTAAAGTAAACCTGCAATTATCAAAATATTGGAGACTTCATTGGTGACTTCTGTTGGCTCCAGGGCTGTCATCATTATCCTGGGTTTACTACTTAGCGAGTAAATTACCTGGAACAAGCATGCAGGAGTTGCATGCATGTTCCAAATCAGTGACTAAGTATAATCAGAATAGGAAGACATTCACAGATGCTAAATCCTTAAAAACATAGCCAACAGTTCTGATATTTCTCTCCTCAAATCTAGCCAAAACTAAGTTTTGTTTGTTTGAAATAGAATAGGGAAGAGTTAGAACTTCTTTCCATGTAACTCTAGGGCAAGCAGAGATAACAATAGCCATACACGGCTCGAACATTGTCTGATTTGTGCTGAATCGAGAGAATTGCAAGCATGCAAAATGCAAAAAACGGATAGCGGATTTGATTGGAAGGAGACAGGGGAAATTTGTCAGTTAAACATTGACTGCTTACAATTAGATGAAGTCATTGATTGAGTATCAGATAGCAGCAGGTGTCTGTCAGGATACAATAGCTGACAGTGGAGATTCCTCCATCCACACTATTTACAGTGGATGGAGAAACCTGCTGAATGGCAGGGGTGGACAAATAATATGGAATCTAGGAACCTGTCTGTTTAATCCAGAAGCCAGAAGCATTTATTTAGGAGCCAGCTCCATTGACACTAGATAACTTCAAAAGTTGGTGCAGGCTGTCATTTTTTAGGAGCATTGTGTACCTAGCATTTGCCCAGCCCTGGTGAACAGCTAGCTTAATTGTATTTCTTGCTGTTGGCATTCCAGTAAGAGCGCTTTTCCTTCACTTCCAGCTGTGGTAGCAACTTACCTCAAGGATGGAAAATTAGGAAAAATATTTTCAATTGGGAAAAAAAGCCTAATAGAGGTTCTAACCTTTTCTCCACTCTTTCCAATGCTGCAGAAAGTGTTGACCAGAGTTTTTATTTACATTGTGTTTGTTGCTATAGTTCTTCCAGAATTTCTAAAGCTGGTCATACATGAGGGGATCTGATTAGCCAGAGTTCAAAATATGTTATTTCTGGTGTATATCATGCTTGGCCAGTCATTTGCCATTAAATGGTGGGTTTATCTAAAGTTTAGAGAGAAAATGAATGGTTTATATATACATTTAAGGGTTTCTTTTCTTTATAAATTAGTGCTCTATATGTTTTAAATACATTTTTACAGAACATTTCCATGCAATAAGGTGAAACCAATTATCCTAATGCTACCAACAAACACAGCAATTGTACTACAGTCACAAAGTTAATAAATACCAAATAAAAAATAAATAAAAATAATATATATGTATATATGTATATATATATATATATATACATACATACGAGGGAGAATCAAAAAGTAAAGGCAATAAGCCAATTTATAAATTATGTGATAACTGGAACAGAGAGACGCTTGGGCAATGCAACATATTTACATAGCTTGTCGGATAGGTCGACCATACGCAGTGCAGCACTCGGACTTTAGTCGAATGATAGTCACATGGACAGAAACATGGATGCTCCACTGTGAGATTGCACCATCAAAGAACAAACATTGCACAGTGTGCTTTCTTTGGGCAGAGGGAGTGAAACCAGAGAAAATTCCATGGCATATGTTGGCTCAGTATGGTCATAGCACCATGAATCAACAAAAGGTTTATGAGGGGGCAGAAACGTTTAAAGCGGGAAGAACAGGGGTAACCGAGGAAGCTTGGTTGCAACCTAGTTCTTGAGACGGAGTATTCTGGAGAGAATTGTCACCGGCGATGAAACATTGATGCATCACTATGACCCAGAGAGCAAAAGGAAGGAGTCGCTCCGTGGTCGCTGGTACATCTTAGATGGTTGCACTCCTGGCTTTAGCAGCAGCCAAAAAGCTTCTTCTCTGCAGGAATACAGAAGCTAGTTGAATAATACAAGTGCATCATCTTGCATGGGGACTATGTGGAAAAGTGATATGTTCAAGTGCTCACAGTTACGTCTATTAATGCTGTTAAATGCATTTTGCATACAACATTTTTTATTTTTTATTTTTTTACCATGCAGCTGGTCTAAAAATCTTGGATATTACTGGAGACAAAGGTGGGAACTTCTTAATTGAATTTACATGTTTGCATTTTTTTGTTAACAGTTCCAATAAATGACAAGTATAGGCTCAATTTAAACCTTTAACACAAAACTAAGGATGTGTACAGTATATTTAGCCATATCACTGTAGTTTCCAAATATTTTTGCAGTTGAAAATAAGGATTCTTATCCTGGTGTGTTTTATGAATTGAGCCTATTGAAAGCTTTATACATGGTGAATTCACATACACTAGTTAAACAGTGTCTTTCCACTATAACAAAAGTAAGTATATCATTTATTGTGCAGGTTTAATGTGAATTTGTGCTGACGTAATCCTGTTTATTGGTTGGTGTCAGAGAGGTGCTTTTTGCAGATGTTGTTAATGTGTTGCTTATCACTCAATAAAATGCATTCTCTTGCTGTTGACAGCTCATATCCAGGCAGCCCGTGCCCTAATGATAACAGGCTCTTTACTGGGGCTTCCAGCCGTCTTCCTGCTTCTCTCTGCCATGCCCTGCATCCGAATGGGCCATGACCCTGGAACAGAGAAACACAAGCGCTTTCTGTTGGGTGGAGTGCTTATCGTCATTTTGGGTAAGTCAAAGAGGAAATTCACAGTGGGAGATGCTCTGCTATTGTTTTCACTTGTGGCCGGTATGATTAGAAAGGGGGTGGCTGGTTGTGTATGAAGTGGTATATGTATTTGTAGAGTAATTTCAAAAAATAACAACACGCCAACATCACTGGAATAATAGGTGATAAGTAATACTGCATGAGTGCCAATAAAGTTGGCTAATACAAGAATTTACATGTAAGAACCTGGTTTCCCTGATTGTTCTGATCATGCACATAATTATACAATGCACTATAATTGTATATTATTGTGGAGATAGATCACTACAGAGGAATTAACAAGGGGCATTGAACAAAGAAGATTAAGTGCACCGAATAATGGTATCATTTATTAAAAGAGGACATCATGGCTGCTTGATTGGAAATATGGCATCATGTTAAAATCAAAATTATGTATGTGAAGATATTGCGTATGCATTTGAAGCATGCAAGCAGGGCTAGATTTCCCACAAAGCCACCGAGGTCCTGGCGGGTAGTTTTATTCTACATTTAGCCCTGCTTTGGTCAAGCAGAGTTAAATGTAGAGCGTGGGAAGCTGCAGCTTGTTTTATACAAGTGATCTTGGCGAAGCCTGCTCATCCGTCCTCCCCTGCCACCCCACCCCCCCTCCATGGTCCACCCCGTTTCTCCAGCTTCCTCTGTCCCCCATGGCCGCCTCTCTCCCAGCTATGGTTTTCGGGGTCCCCCACTCTTCTGGGGGACCCAGGACCACGGAAAGGTAGTTCAGGATGGAGAGCGGGGATCAGAGCGGAAAACATCAGTTCTCAGCTCTGCTCCGTGTGAACACTGAGACGGTAGAGCTGCACGTGCACCCTTCCCATCTCAGCTGTCACAGGAGAGCAAGCACAGTGCTGTGCTCAAACTCCTGTATTGGAAGTGACAGGTTCAATAAAGAGAACCTGTCACCTCCAAATGCTATCACGCAGGGGCTTGTTAGTGCCTAGCAGGTGGATTTGTATTGTTTATTGTTTATCAAGCAAATTTTAACAATTTTGTTTAAAAAATGGCTATGGTTTACTCCCTCTTGTCTTTTCATGGTGCAGTCTCCATGTCCTTGACACTACTCTCCCAGACGCACTCATCCCCAATCTTTCCCTTTCAGTTATCTTTCCCTTCCTCATCATTAACCATTATAGATAAGAGGTAATGTTACACCCCCCCCCCCAACAAATCTTTGATATCAGAACCACAAATATAAAAGGGTGAACTTGGCCTTTAACCCATAGTGGATTGAGTCCAAGCTGATGCAGGTAAATAATAATCAGAAACATGTGTCTGCAATATTCATTTTTTATTTACTGTTTTTGCATTTTACAACTCAAACACTTTTTTTTGTCATTTATCATCTTTTATTGTTCTTTCTGATAATAAATAAAACATTGAAAAAAAAATAAACTCACACAGCTGGATAAGAGAAATGACTCATCGCTCTTCCCGCCTGCTCTGTATGGCGCAGTTAGAAAAAAAGCTGCTGCTGTGCTCTCTCTTTAGAAAACCCATAATGCTCTGTGACACCAGCGTCATTAGTGCACCCTATGTTAAGTGTTTATTTGTAAAATAAAGATTTTATTTACATGGTAAAAAATATTAAAGAGTAAAACATGAACAAAAAATGTAAAATAAAACTGACAGAAATGTATTCTAGTTTCCCTTTAAACCGGAAACATACACATAACATTAACTATCTCTTCAGTAATAAATCTATTAGAGGCTGATGTATTAATGTGAGTGATCATTTTAGTGCCCTGTCCCCTTATGTGAGGAAGTCAGCTGATTACACAGCAAAGGACCCAGATAAGAAATGATGGTGTTGTTTCCTGTGACTGAAAGCATATTACATGATAGGATGTAACCATCTGTCAGGCAAAGGAAGCAGGATAAAAGACAATTTTTCCACATATGAATGCATTTTCTTCCTAAATATAATTAACATAATGAAAGAATGAGAAAATGTAGTTACAGACTTATTGGCTTTCATTCAAATTACGTTAACTTTGGCAGAAGACAGAAAATGTGGAGGGAGGACAGAAATATTCAATGTTTCTTATCCTTTAAACAATTATGAGAAAAGTAATACAAATTATTTATAGCAAATGCATTATGTCTGTTTAAAGTAAACAGTAGCGCTACTGTCACCTGCTTATTCAGGGTAAAGTGACATTGTCTCCTCATTGCTACCCACCAGCAGGTATACTTACCCATCCACACTCCCCGGCTGCCTCCCCATTGCAGTCCACACTGGGTTATGCTGGGTATTCGAGGTGAAAATATTGTATTAAAAATCTCTTTGGAACATTCGATAATGCTACCACAGACTTTTGTTAAAAATTCTGTTCAGTTTTAACATTCGATTTTAGACTAAATGGAGTTTCTCGAACAAAAACCACATTCCCTATTAGAATTTCGTTTGATAATTTTTTTTACATTCTGCTCCTTTGATTTTTCTGTTGTTACAGTTGAAAACGTTCATCAATTTCACCCCATTATCTATTAGGACATTTTACAACTGCTTTCGAGCAAATTCTGTTTATACCCAGCTTAAGCTCTGGTGTTGCAGCACATCACTCTGCTCCCCGTTGTACTCCATACACAGACTATCCTGCATGCCAAAACTCAGCATTTTGCAATACGGGTTAGGGTGAACAACCCCTGACGTTGACCTGAACTCAAAAAGTGAAGATTTGCTATGTTATAGGGAACATTTCGAAATGTTAATTGTACCTAAGCAGTAGTCTGAAAAATCTTCCTTTTGTGTTTGCACTTCCTGATATTTGAGGGTACCTAGGCACTCCTACAGCCTCATAGTTGTATATCTGTATTGTGAGATAAAGGCAATGCTGCCTCTGACTGCTAGTCTCAGGAGATTTGGTGATGTCACTTCTGCGCGGATCACTGTTCTCCTTAATGGAGGCTCAGACATAAGGAAGCAAAACCCTGCCTCTACCAAGATGGCTGCCTCCACACAGACACAGTGCAGAACAAGGCATGGTAATTAAAGGAAAATTATGAAGCGAGTGATTTTCACTTAGCCTCATAATCTGAGCCGACCTGTGTCAATGAAACTGTCACAGGTCGGCTCAATAGATCGGGAAGTGAGAGAACACATACCGTCGCTCGCTCACTTCTCCATCTATCCGTGCAGAGAGCCGTGACTGTCACTCACGGCTCCCTGCAAGGATTCCCCCTCCCCTGTCTGATCCTCCAGCGCTGACTGGCGGAACGGATGGGTAGGGGGCGGGTACAGCTGGCTTTGCCTCTAGATAGGCAGAGCCAGCTGTCACTCACGCAGCTGGGTGGAACCAGACAGAATTGTCGGGATCTGTTCCGGCTGCGGTGTCTCAGTATACCGCGAGTTGTAGCTCACGGTATATTGAGCTTTGGGTGACGGGAGGACGCTAGTTTGTGTCCTTCCGTTACTCTTAGGAGAACTATGGGGTTAAGCCCTAACCCCATAGTTCTCCTTTAAGTACTCATTTTTGTTTAGGTGCTAAAATAAGTACTAATCACCCAATCCATGGAGTTGGCACCAGTCCTTGGAACCTCTCCACCCCTCTGCTGCAGCTGTCTAAGGTCATGTGAGTCATTACATTCTATACACAGTGTATAGGACATGAGGATGCCAAGGAACATACCATTGCTGCACAGGAGAAGGAGACAGCCTGGAGCGAGCAGTGTCTAAAGGTGCCCATACACTGCTCGATTCTCGTACGAGAATCGGACGAAATCCCGCGATCGTACGAGAATCGAGCAGTGTGAACTAAGACGTGCGACCGTTTCTACTGTACGGTCGCACGTCTTTTGTCGAAGCAACATGTTCGAAACCCCGCCGAGAATCGTACGATTCTCGGCGGGTTTCTAGCCTGCTCGCCCGATAGCTGCGGAACGGGCCGGTGTGCGCACACGCACACTGCCCGTTCTGCATTGCCGTCATCGGAAGCCCGCCCCTCAGCGGGGCGGGCTTCCGATGATCGCAAGTACGATCTGCCCGTCCAAGGTGGGCAGATCGTACAGGCTTTTAATGAGCATACGACCCTCGCAAGAAAAAAGTCTTGCGATGGTCGTAAGGTGTATGGGCACCTTAACCCCATAGTTCTCCTTTAAGTAAGGAGGAAAATATCACCTGTAGGGAGACTACAAACAATACTGGTGTTTTGTTTTTTTTTTTTTGGGGGGGGGGGGGGGACAGCTTCCAGAGTCCAGTTCTTCTTTAACTGTTTAGGCAAACACAGCATTACATAGTTCCACAGTTTGCCAATGGCACCAAGGGTTCAAACTTTAGGAGTCTGGACTAGCATAACAGAACAAAACAGGTAGCAAATTTACAGTGTTAACTATTTTGATTAGTGAGCATTGAATATTTTTCATAAATATTTATAAAAGGAGAGTTACCCTTTAAACCATAATAATCTCTTCTTTTGTGAAGAATTTCTGCCATTATACCTTGATAAATCAGTGAATGCTCAGAAATCTTTTAGAAATAGTTGTCAGCTGTAGCAATTACTTTTTCTTTATTTTGTATTGTGTAAGAATAATTACCTCGCATAATAAATCCCAATAATTCTGTTTTGTGGTTGACGTAGCTCTGACTTACGTCTCTGTTTATGACAAGCCATCGTCTTTCTAAACCCCGCTGCTGATGCTTCATGATCGGCACAGGAGAAGGATGAGTAATGTCCAAGGTAATATAATGAGTGAATCATCACTGAGTCACCATGGTGTTGCCAGACAACTGATACTTTCTTAATAGGTGAGCATGACCCACACACCAGTCAATTCACCTCCTGGCTGCTGATCAGTAATGACAGGAGACATCATTACTTTACCTTTTTCTACAAATGCTTTTCTAGAAAGGCTACAGGAATAGGCAATCAGGATCAGGCTTCATAGAGGAAGGAACTGCAAATACATGTGAAATACTATACAGAAAAATATAACTATATAATATATAGAAATCTTGCTTT